TGTTTGGAATAGTGATATTGTACTCTTAAGAACAGCTATTTCAAACATTTTTAGAATCTGAATATCAGTATAGCCTTCCATATGCTGAACATGTCTTCTTGCATGTGGGAAGCCAAACCTGTGCCTGGCTCCCCTTACCTGTGTTATCCAGATCTGGAAGAACCAAAAGTCTATCCTGGCTTCCAAGAAAACTGTCCCTATAGTTTCTAATCTAGTTCAGAGTCACTCCTAAACTAGAAAGAGAATTTGGGCTGAGATGAGAGGAGTCAGAGAGGGCCAGCGCAGCGGCTCCGGCCCACGGCAAGCTTCCCTCTAGACGAGCCGCATCCAGCACAGCCCCAGTTCAGCACCAACAGTGCTGCGTTCGCAGAGACCAGACACACTGTAGTTCCTCTCTGCCAACTCGTATTCGTACTGCGCTTGCTACAGGAACGTGGGTTTGTTGGAGAAGGACCTGATGGGGATGGAGGGAGCCCATTGTGACCCATTGTGGGGGTGTGTATCTCAGTTTTTGGTGTGCTGACAGCGAGATGAAATGCCTTGAATCCACTTGGACAAGAGGGCAACTGTAGCATTTAACGGGCGCTTTGGCTTACAAATTTGTTGCCACGTTTTGGCGTGTGTCAGTGAGTGTCTTTTAGGTGAGTGCTTTTCCAGTTGTGGGCCACTGAAGTGTGAAAATGTAAAACCTCAGGTTTTACGCAATCTTGGTGTTCCCTCTGGGGCTGGGTGATGTAGTTCTGCCAAAGGATTCGGTGTGGTGGTAGATGGTCTTTGCCACAAACGCTTCAAACTCTTAAGTGCTTGAAGGAGTTCAAGAAGGCAAGAAAGGAGATTAGTGTTGTCAAAAGATTATCAGAAGCTTCTGTGTTTCTTGGAGAAATTCATCTTCTGTTCTTGTTACCTGTGCACCAACTAACAGGGGATTGTAATTTCTTTTTCTGCATCATTCACCCTTTACTTGGGAGGGGTTTCTCCCAAGTGTTTGTTTTTTTTTTCCTCTGGCAAAGGGTCTCTAACATACAGATTTGTTCTTGCATTCTTGGTTTACCAACTTGTATATCCAGGCTTACTCTTGCCCTGTTTTGAATCTCACCTTCTATTAGTGTTTTATTGCATCTCCTTTTGCCTTGAGATGATGATGAGTAGTTGGGATCCATCTTTGTGTTGCATTGTCCTGATTAAAAGAGTTAACAGAGAAAATAGGTGTTTTCTTGAAAACAGGAAGAATTAAAGTGGGAGCCAGATTCATCATTCAGTTCCCAGCCTTTTTCTAGCTAATGCATGAATCGAAAGCTTGTGGCAGCAGGACGCACTTGTCTCTGTCTCTGGGAACTATAAACTTCTGCAGTGTTTTTGCTGACTCTCACATATGCATCTCTAACAATTTATATTCTGCTACTTGTCCTTGCAACCAAAACTCTGGGAAAAATCTGGTCTGCTTTATGCGTACCTTGAACTTGGTGTGATGGCTGCTCTTATTTCATGTGTTTCTCGGAGAAAGCTCATTGCAAGAAAATACAATGCGTAGATCCGTTTCTTTGAAGATCTGCTTGGATCATGTGATACTTGCTTGAATTAATAGGATGACATAGATACTGCACTTTAGCAAGCAATGTGTTTCTTGAAAACGTAATTAAAACTCTGTGGATTGTTTACGGACTGCCTCATACCCCATTTGCTGTCTGTTCCCTGCAGCTTGCTGTGATCTGCAATTTTTCTGCTTTGGAGAGCAGTGTATTGCTCTCCCTCTGTCATCCAGCCCAGCCTTGCTTTGTGGCTGCATCAACTTCCCCATCTCCTTTCAGTGAATTTGTTCTCTCTTTCTTTCTTCCATCCCATTTAGCACACTCAGGTCTCTTAAAATTCAGCTTGTAAGCAAAGCATCACCTAAAATTGTAAAATCTATCTTAACCCTCCCTTCTCCCGCAAAGAAAATGCAAAACACACACCAAAAAAAAAAAAAACAGTAGAGCAAAAATGTGATTGAATTGCAGCAGGTATGGTGTCTGCTGTTTGCATTTGAAATATTTACAGCACAGCCGCCTTCTTTCATCACCAGGAAAAGGCTGTAGCTGCTTACTCGGAGAAACCAGCTCTGTCACTGTGCAGTGGCTCTGCCGACTCGTTTCAGAAAATTCCGTTATCTCATGCTTGTAAAATGGCTTTGGGTGAGCTCCAAGAAGTGGGGAATTGTGTAAGTGGAAAGAACCCAAAAGTTAGCAATCGATAAAGGCTGCAGCCCAAACTGAGCCACTTTGGCTTGCAAAATGTGCTCATCTGAAGATTAAGTCACTGTTACAGGTTGGACACCCAAAATTGTTAATGATGTGTTAACATACTCATATTTTTATACAAATTCTGGGAGAACAGAGGAAAAAAGTCTGAGAGGATGAACGGGTAAGAGACACAAAATGGTTTTTCTCTTGCGGTATCCGTCCACTCCTGTACGCAAAGCAGTAGCTAAACACTGCTCCGAGGGAAATCCTCCAGCCTTGCCGTGCTCCTGCAAACCTGCCTCTTCCGACCCTACCGCAAAGCCCTCCTCGTGGCTCATCGGCAGCGTGCCCAACCTCCTCTTTAGTCGCTGATGTTGACCTCTTCTCCACGGATTTGCCTAAAAAAGTAGTTTTTTGAAACTACTTTAAAAATCTGGGGTTTTTTTGTCCTCTCTTGCATCCAGCAGCAGGGAGTTCAGTATTATTTTCTTTCGTGTGCAAAAGTACTTCAGCCGCTGTAAGCGTGACCTCGAGTTACTCGCACGTACCAGGAGTGTTCCTGAACAAGCACGATGTGACCCACGGCATACGTGCTGTTGTATGAGCTGAATTCCTCCTCAGGCAAAGGCAGGTCTCATCTTTTCTCCTCTTATTCCTGTCATATGTATGTAGTTCCTACACGCCTGTGTCCTCGTTGCAGAGTACCAGACGTAAATTCCACTGATTCAAAGCTATTGCAGTAAACTACCCACCTTACTTAGCTACAAATTTACTTGGTTTATGTGTTTCAGGAACTTTTTTTTTTTACTACTGCTCTGAACTTAATTTGCAGTATATTTTGCAAATGCGTTCTTCCTGCAGGTGGCTTATTACTTCTGGATGCTGTGCAAATAGCAGCTATTCTACTTGTGTCAAAAGCTGCAGAAAATGCTTATTGTTTCCTTAATGTGCCATTACCTGGGTAGCACATATGCACTGCATAAAGGAGAGCAGAAGAGAACTACTTGTCTGCAAAATTAGGAGTTGCACAGCTTTCACTCATCAAACAGCAGCTTTTTTTGTTCATGAAACAGCGAATTCTTGGGAGGCAATCATCCCTCTGAATTTTAGGCACTTCCCGTGTTGCCATATCCATCATAGCTGGTGTGTCTGTCTGGATAATCAATGGGAAGAAATGAGCTCCTCTGCAGTGCACTCGCATGATCTGTGCTGGAGGCTCTTTCTGAAGGTGATAAATTGCACCCTGGAAGTGCAGCTCAGAGAGCCCAGCCAGCTTGGATGTAGACATCTCCATCGTAGCCAACTCCCACAGTGTGATTCATCTCCTCCAGAAGCCTGCAGTGCAGGCATCTCCAGCACGGACGATCGATCCTTTGCACTCTTCTTGTAGTCTTTGGAGATCAGGGGAGTTCGAGGCGTGATTTACCGGGTCACATACTTACACCGAATAGTTGGAGGAATCCCCCATTAAGTGATGTGTCTCTGCTGAGCGCTGCAGGTCGGGCTGCGTTTGGCTGCACAGCTAACTCAGCGCTGAACGCGAGATTGTGAAGGTGGATAAAAGCCATCGTGGTAGCTGATTTTTAGAACGATCCAGATTTCCTGCTTCTTTGAAGTTTTGTCATAGTGCAGCAAAGTTTGTAATCTTTCTAATAAATGTCTTAACTTACTGGATCAGATGCAAAATCTGTTCAGCCCATTACCTTTTCTGTGGAAGTGGTCGGTAGTGGAGAACCAGGAAAAGAGTCCAAAGGCAAAGTAAGCGTATTGATAGATCTTCATCCCTCACTTGGCTAATTATTCTTTGGACACGTCTAGATCTTTGATGCTCTGTTAACCTGTGGCAGTGATAGACCTACAAAAGAACATTTCAAGCACCCTCATCCTTATATGGTGAGACAGTGTTAATAATCGTTCCCTATTAACCAGGCTGAAGAGTCCAATCTAATTAATCTTTCCAAAGATGGAAGCCACTCCACCGATATGGAAATCAGACTTACTGCTGTGCAGTCCCTGACTCGGCGGGAGCACTGCTGAATTCCTCTCCAGTTCCTCCACAGTGAATGCCAGGGCAGAGGGTTCACTTTGCATGTTTTCATGTCAATAAGTCTTTTCAAATCTCCCAGGTTTAATGAAATCTAATGGTGACCAGCTCTGTGTTTTAACTGTGTGGTTTTCAGTATTAAGGAACTGGGTTTACTCTGATGTGTGAAGGTTGTTTCTTTAATTTCATAGCTTTTTTTTTTCAAGGTGTTTTGTCTTTGAGATGCCTGCAGTTCAGCCGATTTCTAGCATGACGGGTTTCATATTGATGAAGACAGCAGATTGCAGGAGTATGATCATGAATATAATGACAGGAAGGAGGGTCTGAGGAATGTGCCAGTGCAAGATTTCTGTTCCTGAGATCTTTATCTGAATGAGAGGTGGTTTGTGTTTGGTTGGGTTTGGTGTTTGGTTTTTTTTCTAACAATGCAATGACATTGAATGGAGTGAGTAAAATAGTAAATAATGGCACCTTTTTTAACAGAACATGTCCAACACTAAAGAGTTTATTTAGAGACTCGAGGGAGACCATAATGCAGGCATTTGTGTATCATATGCTCATAGGAAAGTTCTACCAAAGCAGAAGGCAATAGTCTTAGTAGATGGAGGTAAAATTATTTTTGTCCATATGAAAGAGAATATTATCTCAGCTCAGGACCTTGCAGAAACAGAAAGGCAGAGCATCTGTTTTTATTTTAACCTCTTCTGCCCTTTTTTGGTTTTGTTTTTTTTTTTCAGGTCATATCTGACTCCTGTGCGGGATGAGGAAGCAGAATCACTAAGGAAGGCACGATCCAGGCAGGCCAGGCAGACTCGCAGGTCCACACAGGTAAAGAATGGAAATACTCATGTTCATGTGTAGCATGAAGAGAACTGATGAATAGAGAGGCAAGATTTTCTTTTTCTCTTACGTTATTACTTAGGACAAGGGGCTTGTCTACCCTCACACTGTGTTGGGGAGGTTCTGGCAAAAGTTCCTATGAGCAATTATTACAAAATACTTCTGCAGGCTTACATGAGTTAGATTTCAAAGTTCTCATTTCTGCAGTGTACCTGCCTTTTAGTTTGTAGTTTGATCACGTATATTTGGGTTGCTTTGAGTCAGTGATTATGTCAGTACACTGAGAAATGTGTTAAAGGCAACAGAATTCTTTTCTTTCTGTTAGCATAGAGATGAAACATTAGCCTGGCTAGCTGTAAGCCTGCTGGGCATTTTAACCTGACCTGGAAGACTTGAAATCTAGTTGCATAAATTTAAAAATTCTCTCTTTTACTTTCTCTCCAGGGTGTGACACTGACAGACCTTCAGGAGGCAGAGCGAACCTTCAGCCGGTCTCGGGCAGAGCGGCAAGCTCAGGAACAGCAAAGCGAGAAAGCTGAGAGCACTGAGCCTGCTGAGGACAGCAGTGAGAGGCAGGAGACCCGGTCACGGTGGAGCAGAAATACCGATGAGGAGGTGATCCTCCTGGCCTCAAGCCTCTTTGTTTCAGAGTTAATGAAACCATTTAGGATAGCTGAGATCAGGAGAAATTCTTTTGGGGATGTCTGTTTATTTTAAGGGGGGGAAAACTTGCTGGAAAGAAGTAACACTGAGCAGTAGTACCTCACCTTGACAATCAGCACGAGGGCCGTGGATATGTAGGTGTTAGAGGTTAGCTGTTCCTTTGCTCTCCGCTGAGAATTTCATTTTCTGTCTCTTGCCAGAAAATAAAACTGTAAATCACAGAAAGTGGAATGAGAAGGCTAATGATAGAAATGTGGCCTGGATCCATCCAGACTGGACTGAGACTTTGTGTTCACATTTTTCCACAGATGTTCTGTGTGTAATGGAAAGCTAGAGAGACCAGTTTTCTCCCCCTGCCATCACTTCTGGTTTTTTACTCTAAATCATTCGTTTCTATTAGATAACTTGTTTGTCCTGCCGTTGCCTGTAGGGACAAAGAGAGAGATCCCAGACTTCCCAGCCGTGGGAGGGTGCTCTCACATTGTAGCTGTACAATGCTTTTAACATTCATCCCTGAATGATGGAATGAACCTGATCTGGTGGATGGAGGTGATCACTTCCAGAAGCAGTGGATAAAACAATACACTCTAAAAGATTACCAAGTTCCCTGAAATCCCAAATCTGCTAGTTCCTCTTCATTCTACTGACTTCTTGTCATGGTTCTTTGTTTATAGACTGTCTATCGGCGATTAAGGTGCCCGGTACAACCAGACAAACCTACGACACCTGTATCTCCTTCAACGTCAGCACCTCTCCTTTATACAAGTTCATACCTGACTCGAACAAATAAGTATCTAGGTCTTGAGTCTGTGAATCCAGCAGACTTCGGAGGTGCAGCCACAGAGATGGAGAAAAATGGTACGTACCCAGGGGAATGAAGAGCAGTCAAAGCTCAGGGATTTTCATGAGTTTTAAAACTTTCAATGTGTACAGACAGAGAGTAAGTTCACTTGTTATTCTGAGGGGAGCGGTATGGGGAGTTGCCACCTCACAAAACAAAAGTTATTTGTTTAAATAGAAATCCTAATGTAGGACACAGCCTGTAGCTTGTAACAGGGAGGGATAAAAGGATGTTTTCCATTTTGGATAAGTAAAGGAGAGAGTAATCCGTGGAGCGTTTAGATCTTAGAGCTGGGGGGAGCGATACCCCTAGTACAGTTTGTCCTCAGAATAGGAGTAAGTTGGGCTGATTCAGGGAGGGCTGGCAGCTAGAGTACCTCTCTGGGCTCTGATAAAGGAAGGAGTATGAGTAATCAGATGTAGTAGGACACTGAGATTCCATTTCATTTAATTTAATAACTCCTTTGTAATATAACACAAGCCAAGATGACCTTGATCAGCTTGAAAAGAACCCCAGTACCTTAGCAAAAGCACAGATGTAAATCGCTGAAACCAAAGCAGTCTTTCTTTGCTTGGCCAGAGTGTGAAGATCAGGATTTAGACGACAGATCTCTGAACAAACAGTCAATCCGAGAGAGGCGGCGGCCAAAGGAGAGGCGAAGAGGCACTGGCATAATTTTCTCGACAAAAGATGTAAGTTTGAGTTCCTTAGAGAAGAGAAACTGATTCTATAATATTTGGGGTGAATTTCCTTCCAATTCCAAGCTTCAGATCTTTTCCCCAATTCAGTTTATTTCCTATTAGTCCTTCCTTCTCCAACTCTATTTCAGACTGGCACTTCCAAAGGAATCGCATCCCTGTGTGACCCCTGTAAAACCCAAGCAGCGGGCTCTGGGAAGCCTGTTCTTGAGCCATAAATCAGTGCGATCCTTGCAGAATTGTGAAAGAGCCCACATGGGAGAAGAGAGGTTAGAAGTCTAGTTTCTTTGGAAGAAGGAGGTCACGAGCCACTGGAAGTATTTTCAAATTCCTCTGAGCCCAAATTTGGCTACGCTTTAGGCCCCCTAAAAGGAAGACAATGAGGAATAAAACCTGTGTCTGGATCCCCTGCTCAGCACCAGAGAACACATGCAGCATAAATGCGGAAGAGCTGTCTGCGTCATGATCATTTCTCTTAGTCCTGGTTTCAAAAGGATTTATTCAGTCGTGAGGGAAGAAATCTAGCCCTCCAAACCTTAGTTAAAGGCTCGGGTAGGAAAATAGTTCACCTTTTTCAGGACAGACTAAGTATTATGAAATCATGGTTAAGAAGTCTGCAACAGTTCTAGTCCAGCTGTTGACACAGAGACTTCTTTGTACACCTCAGGGCTAGAGGGTTTCTGCACAATACAATGGAAAAAACCCCATGGATCTTCCCTGTGGCAACAGTAGATACGTTGAATATTTAGAGTTACAGACAAGTTGAATGGCCCTGCTGGAAACCTCAGAATTTCTATGGAAAGACTTGCTGCAAACACCCCCTTTTTATTATTTTCAAATGATTCTTACATTTTTTTCACTTGCATGCCAAATATGATATTTTTTTTTTGGTATTGTTGGTTTTAGTTACATGCTTTACAGCTTGCCCAGTTGTCTACTGGATCATTGTAGCCGTATTACTAGCTTCAGAGCAGAAGGCAAATCACTTTTCAGAGTTTTAGTTCATTTCTCTGTTGTCTCTACGAAGCTGCAGCTACAATTTCTGAAGTACCTTGAGTTCAATATGGAGTCAGATGTGATGCCATGGTAGTTTACCATTGCTCCATGAAATCCTGGAGCTCTCACAGAGAGGTTGTGGGTTACAGAGCGGCTGCATATGTGCAAGCTATCTGGGATGACTAGTCTTTCCTCCTGGAGTCTAACTGAAGTGGAGGATATTTGAAGATCGATATTATGTCAACATTTCAGATATGCGGTCTTCCCAGGTGCCACGTTTGTTCCTTAAGTATATTCAGGAGTGTTACTCCTCCTACTGACTCTTCAGGAGCTTTCAAATTGCAGTAGCCATCTCAAGAGAGTAATTCTGTCCCCAGTACCGAGATCTTCTAGGCCATTAGGTTACCAAACTAGATCTGATAATCAGCCAAAAGCATCTAGACAGGCATTTCTTTTGACAGAGGTGTTCTTAGCTTTAACATCAAATCATAAACAATACGTTATCTTCCTGTGATAAAATTTTGTTGTCTCCAAGGCTGCCTAATTATATTGTTTGCTTTTCATGCTAGGATGATGATGAAGTTGATGGAAATGAGGAAGTGAAGGAAACTCGGGTAAGTGAAACCATATGTCTAAATAGTTGGTGTTTCACTCTTGAGCGTTGGCGGCAAGAAGTCTTCTATGGCTTTACTCTTGTTTATATGAGAGGCTCAGGCTCTGTTCAGGAGCTGAGTACAAACTGGGAGGTAGTTCTGAGTAGCAAATTGCTTACTGATTTCTCGTCTGAAGGATAAAGAATATCTACAGGCTGGCCTAAGTTCAAAAGTTGGCTTTTCGAGAGCTGCGTAGGCAGTTCTCAAACCTGGAGGGACTGCAGCAGAAGCAGGGGTGAGTGCCTTACCAAGTGCGCTGTCAGAAGCTGCCATGGCTGGGGAGCACGGCTGTCAGGTGTCCAGAGGAAGGTGCGTGACCTTGTATCTCAGATTCACCCTGACGCTGTTATTTTGGACAGTATGTTTTGTATTTCTAAAATCTGCACTCTTGTCTCCTCATGGATTTGTTTTCTTGCGGGAGATTGTCTTGGCAAGCAACGCATCAGAGATTGTTCATTGTTCCCCTGTTCTTGCAATAGTCTCATTATCCTTTGAGGCCCTTTCTTTCCTTTTATAATAATTATTGAGTCCTTCCAAATTGCCTTGGTTTCATTTGGTTTTGTCTGTCTTTCTCTAAAACACATTTCAGCCTGACAATGTGACTTACTCTGACAATGTTAAAACTAAATACATTTCCAAACTATTAAAGCATGATGTGCAAGACCTGGGAAAAATAGCAAATTTAAGGTTGCATAGGGGTCAACCTGCTTGTGTGACATTTAATCTTTGCCAGAAAATGTTGAACTTGCAGTAGCCTTTCCAGATACTTTGCAATTCAGTAGAGTGATTGAAGCATTGTTTTGTTGAAATTAACTGGTTCTTTGCTGAAAATTTAGAGTAATGCTCTTCAGAGTATATTTGTGTTTTTGTTTTTGCAATACTCAGTCAAAATGGGGCAAAGTCACGGTGAGCCTTGTGGGGACCAGAGACTCACGCAGTGCTGGGATGACTCTTAGCATGTGCTTATCTTTCAGTGCCAGCCTTTGCTTTCCCAGTACTTACTTTGCAATTCGAAATGCGGGATATTCCTTCCCATGGAAGCACCACCTGCTTCAAGTAGCCCAGCTCTTCCCACAGGAGTTTCTGTTCATAGCGGTACACAGCTTCGTTAAATCTTCCACTTAACCCTGCATGAAAGATTCAGCCATTTATCATCCTTAAAATTGTTTTGACATTTCTGCTGTCTCGCAGTAAGACTGAAGGAGGGGTATTTTGTAATGTGTTTTTTTTAAAAAAAAAAAAAAAAAGGTAATAATAATAGGGACACCTTGTTTTCAGCGGTCATGTTTTGGACTTGCTGGAAATATCTTGTTCTTCTGGGAAGTTGTCCCAGGTCAGCTAAATTAAGACAAACGAGTATCTGAGGCTGCAGGTTTGGAGGCTTCCTAGAGTCTAGTCCTATAATTGCTGAAAACTATTGAGCACAGTCCTCGCCACTCTCGTAAATGGGTAAACTGCACTTTGTAAGAACCCACCATGTATTCTTGCCCGAAAATTCAGGGTCACCCAGGCTCTTAGAATTGATTTTGCTACCTTTCCCCAAATTAATAACAAGGAATCCTTTTCTCTTGTACTTCTCACGATTTTCTTGTGGGTTCTCATCTAATAGCAGAGCAACTTCCCTTCAGTTCCCTTGGCCCCTTTGAGCACGTGCTTTGTGGCAACAGTCCCCTGTTTTCTTATGCACCTCATGTACCTTAGACCCAGGTTTAGACTCTCCTTCCACACTGCTGCTGCTGTTTTTCCCATTCTCCCGGTCCTCTTGTTTTTATCCAGTTTCCATTTCATTTTCTTTACTGCATGCCTCCAGCATCATGTCACTTGGTCAGTCTTCTCTGGCTTATTTTACATCCAAATCAGAGATTTCTGTCCTGCTAACTAGCCATCACTTTGGCAAGAATCACAGAGCAGCTCCTTGCTTTCAGTTCTAGGATCAAGCAGAAAGTACAATTAATATAATTATTAATATAGTTAATAATCATTACTTCATCAATAATAATAATAATTCTAGAACAACAGGTGCCACTGTCAGAGTTGTGAACTTTGAACACACTAATGTCCCATTTTCATTGCAGACCCCCAAAACTCTCCTGGTTTTATGGGAGCAGTTATTTTTTTCCTCCACTGTTTGTATCTTGACTGATATTAGAAAGATTTTCATGGGAGCCAAAAAAGACCCGACTTGAATTCCCTCCTCCAAACTATTCAGTTTTTGAAAAAAAGAAGCAAATACGTGTTGTTCGAATTCTCAGAAGGGGATGAATTATTTTGGCTGAAACTTAGGAGCACCAGCGTGGGAAACCAGCCCAGACGCTTTGGCTGAGTTTAGGCAAGTGCGAGCAGTCTCGTAATAGGATGTGTCAGGCAACCTTCGTGTGTTTTGCTACCAACCCCGCCTTTCTCCTTGTGATGTGTTGTGGAAAGTTGGAAGAGCAAAGTTTTATTGTGGAATAAATGTTCAAGGGCACAAGGACTTCAACTGGAAAAAACCTCTGGAGAAGCAGCTTTAGGAAAGTTGTTTTGGTTGTGGGGTTTTTTTGCGTTGTTCCAGTGGGAAGGATACGTAAAGGAAAGAGCCTTTATTTCGGTCTGGGGGGACCTGAGCTTAGACCAGAGGTGGGGAAAAAAGTTTGGCCACAGTCTAGTCTACGTTTCTCAGAAAGTAAAAATTGTGAGAGTCCAAAATAACACATTAGTACTGGAGTGAGCAGTGTGGGCAGGCTGGCATTAGGAAACCTTTCCTGCTCCCTGCAAGCCAGTGACTGTGAAATGGCAAGAATTCAGTCGTGGTGGGGCCAGTGAGTACAAATACAGTACAGTCAGCGCAGGTATAATTCAGTGGCTCTAGTTTGGGCTGCAGCATTTGAAGGATAATGATGAAGACTAAAGAGAATGGTCCGATATTATGTTTTGGAGGGGGTTTTCCTGATCCCCAGCTCTTCTGGCTTTGACTTGTACCTAACTTCTGCCATTGCTATTACACAGCAGGAGAAACTGGGAACAAATTTGGAAGAAAAGTGTATTAAGTGACATACCATAGATAACAGAAATAGAAAAATGTTTGTAATCATTTAAAGAATTTTATCTCCTTGCATTTCTCTTTAGTGGCATTACAAATGTGCCTCACCCATGTGTTAGTTTGTCATAGGAAAACTTTAAATACAGGGGAATGCCCTGAGTGTCATGTTGGTAAAGTAACAATTTCTGGGCAGTAAAAGTGTCGAAGAAAACATCTGTTCTCCTGAACTTCCTCTAGGACAGGCTATATAGCACGGTATAAAACCCAGATACATTAGTGGAATTAACTTCTATGCAGGAATAACTCTGAAATGTATGATTATGAATTACGATCACCGTAAGTGTATTAAATAGGCTCCATTCCTGTCTCCCTGTACTTTGATTTATGAAACATGAGTATTTTGCATTCTGCAAGACACCATTCAAGCCTGCTGTGTTTTGTAAGTATTGCATGTTCTGCCTAATTGTACTGTTAACGTGAAATCACCAGATGCAACTGGATACTAATAAAAACTGAATCTGTATCTTAGAAGCACTGAATTTCTAAGCTTGATTACACAAATTCGTAGGGAAGACCAATGAACTGGAAAATTCCTTACACAAACTAAATGTCTTAATGTTATAGGTGTTTCAGAGTTATGAGTTGGGAGTCCTGATTGTGGTATGTTCTATTCCTCACCTATATTTTTCCTTTTAGTGGCATTTTATCTTCCACAGAGGCTTCCAATTCAGCTTTTGTAATTGTGCTTTTTACCTTTTTTAAAAGATGGATTTGATAAACAACTAAAAGATCAGAAATAGAATCACAGAATCATAGAACGGTTTGGTTGGAAGGGACCTTAAAGCCCATCTGGTTCCAACCCCCTGCCATGGACAGGGACACCTTCCACCAGACCAGGTTGCTCACAGCCCCATCCAACCTGGCCTTGAACACTTCCAGGGATGGGGCAGCCACAGCTGCTCTGGGCAACCTCTGCCACTGCCTCACCACCCTCACCGGGAAGAATTTCTTCCTGATATCTCATCTCAATCTTCCCTCTTCCAGTTCAAAGCCATTGCCCCTTGTCCTATCCTCCCTGCCCTTGTAGAAAGGCTTTCTTGTCGGCCCCTTTAGGTACTGGCAGGCTGCTCTAAGGTCTGCCCGGAGCCTTCTCTTCTCCAGGCTGAACAACCCCAACTCTCTCAGCCTGTCCTCACAGCAGAGGTGCTCCAGCCCTCGGGTCATCTCCGTGGCCTCCTCTGGACTCGCTCCAACAGGTCCATGTCCTTGTGCTGAGGACCCCAGAGCTGAATGCAGTACTGTAGGGGGTCCTCACCAGAGCAGAGGGGCAGAATCCCCTCCCTGGCCCTGCTGGCCACGCTGCTTGGGATGCAGCCCAGGACACGGCTGGCTTTCTGGGCTGCTGGTGCACACGGCCGGGTCATGGTGAGCTTCTCGTCAACCAACACCCCCAAGTCCTTCTCCTCAGGGCTGCTCTCGATCCATTCTCCGCCCAGCCTTTATTTGTGCTGGGCATTGCCCCAACTCATGAGCAGGACCTTGCACTTGGCCTTGTTGAACTTCATGAGCTTTGCATGGGCCCACTCCCCCAGCCTGTCCAGGTCCCTCTGGGTGACATCCCTTCCCTCCAATATGTCAACCACAGCACCCAGCTCCGTGTCATCCACAAACTTGCTGAGGGTGCACTCCATCCCACTGCCCCTGTCGCTGACAAAGATAGCTTTAGTTAGTGTTTTACGACTTGCCTGTCGTTGCCAGACTGCCTGTATCGGGAGCCCTAGCAATCCTAGTCGCTCCCCCAGATCCCACTCTTTTATTGCCCTCTTTGCTCGATGCAATGCAGGGAAGCGTGGTGCTGTACAGGCTGTAGACATGCCTGCAGACTGGCTTTTTAAGCTAAGGAAGGCTCCGAGTCCTCCACTTTCTGGACTTAACATTGCCTAATATGGTAAAGTATGTCTTCATGGGCTGCGCTCTTTTACTGAGATACAAGGGAAAGTTGACTAGTAAAAGGAAACAAAATAGGTGAACTTCTTGCTAGCTGATAAGAAAGTAAAATCTTTTAATCTATATGATGCTGTTCATCCTATGCCTCTTTACTGCTAGGCCAGGGTCCCTTTTGGGGACTAAGGGTGCAAGTATTTTTCCCTGGTTTTTCCCTTGACTATTTACTTCTAGCATAGATGCAGTGTGACGTGGGAGGGAAACCATCTGGCCCATGTCCAAGGTAACGTAGATGGTACTGTGCGTCACTTGCGTGACTGTAGTTAAATTGTAGAGCATTTAATTATGTGTAAAGTAAGGCTGTGAGAGATTGGCTCTGTTTAGTCCTGTTGATAAACAAAATGCTATAATGGGTTGTGTATGCTGCGAGGAGAGATCTTTAATACGTGTACAACTAGCACTACGAAGTTGAGTCTAAAATAACAGAAAATTACTGCAAGAGCATGTGCTAGCATTTTGCCACAGAGCTTTAAATATGGTGAAGAACAGTTTTATTGTGTTTGAAGTGTCCTGGGTTCTTTGGGAGGTGGCGGGGAAGACTTTATAGAAATTTAAATTCATTCTGCACGTATTTCTACAAAAAGTTTTCACATCTGCACAGATGAGTTGCCTCATGAGTTCTCCAGCCTAATATTCTTGTGTTGATTTTTCTTAACCTTAGTGTTTTGAGAAGGGCGTCAGACTTGCTGTCTACTATTCCTGTTGATACAGCATTTAAATCATCAGCGTGGCTGCTCAGTTCCTATTTATGGCTCTGGGAAAACATATTGTTTGCGCTTAAAGCCAAGCGATCCAAGTCGGCTATGTAGACTACAGGGTTACAGCTAAATGTGTTCAGGTTAATTCCTCTAATTCACTGAGTCGCTGAATTAGGAAGGTGTAATGTGAAGCAGTGTGCATGATGGAGAAGGAGATGAGTAACACAAAACCAGCTAAAATCCGATCTGCGGGTCCCAGGAAGATGAAGCAAAATAGCGAGTCCTCCAGGAATGATTTACAAGGTCATAGACTCGTAACTGTTTAAGGTAACTTCATGCTTTAACTTCTTGTTTAGTAAATTACTCTCGGAATTTTGGATTAGTCCGAGGCGACTAATCTTTCTCAGTTGTCAGCAAGTAATTTCTCCTGAAGCAATGGCGCTGAGGTTAGCAATGCATCAGACACCCACCAGATACCTTGGCTTTTGCTGGCATTGCTGGGAGGCCTGTGCAGTCAGTTCAAATTATCCCATTTCACCCCAGGGGTCCTGCCCCTTTGCCTACATGGCAGCTATCTCGCAGGTGTCCCCAGGATCCTTTTGCTTTCTTCCCAGAAGGATGTGGGAGCAGTGTGATGGATGGGGTGGCAGCAGGATCAGTGCCATGCGTGTGCATCTCTCCATCTCCAGTGCAGCGTGGATGCAGCACAGCCACTCCAGGACACAGGACCGGGCAAGTTCAGTGTGGGTGCTGGCCTAGACCCGTTGGCCTGAGGAACAGCATTACTCCCTGGAACATATCTCAAAGACAGGATAAATCTAACTGTTGTTTTGTGTCTAATTATGTTTGTAATTTTTGATGTTTTAAAGGTTAACAGCGTATGTTTGTGCTTATATATGTAACAGAGCATCATGTTAATTTTTGTTTGACGCTGTCAAACTCTATCTCATCAGGACATGCTCAAAATTTTGGAAAGGAAAAATATCTCTAACTGCTTAACTACTTACAGCAGATTCTCTGCCCCTCTGGGAGCTGATGATCGTACTTCGTTGTCAGTCATTCAGCAGGCCGCAGGGAGAATGTCTCTCCTGATGTAGCTGAAGACATCCTCTAAAGAAGTGCGATCTGCTGAATTAAAATTCCTGCATACAGCAGTAGATGTCTGGATAGCCCTTAATGGCTGTGTCATGTTGACTCGGCTGTCAACCTTCTTAGAGAATAGGTGAATTGTGTGTGGGCAATAGGAGATGCAACTCGAGTGTATCGTACTCGATGCTTGCTTTATGGCCCTTCTCACCCGTCTGCTGGTGACTGCTGCTTTGTGACACCGTGGCAAAGCCCCAGTGAAGGCAATCGTCCTTGGTGCCTGGCCGTACCGTGCAGAATGGTGCAGCCCCATGTTTAGGTAGTAAATTATTTATCTCCCAGATACGTCTAGAAGGAGTGAAAAGCAGAAGCTCGTTTTGCCAGATGGCTAACAAGGAATCGAAGAGTAATCTAAATGTGTTTGGAAAACTGAAGTCAAATTCCCTGGCAATAAAATATCCTTTGGAAACTACTACTGTAGGAAAAATTGTGTGTTCAAGTGATGCAAGTGGTGATGCTGTTTGTCCCTCTTGTCTTTAAAAGGTCACTTTTGCTCTGAGTTTGTCTTCCCACATGCTTCTCTTCAGAAAAAGCCTCATATTTGGAAAGCCATTGTTAATTTTTTTTACTCTTGGACATGGAATTTCCCTATGAGAAGTAACGTTGTTTGGCAGAGGCTACTTCGTTATTTGGTATGTCAAAATGCAGAATCCTTAAGCTGCAAAACTCCTTCCTGGCAGGAATTTCCCACCAGCTTTGGTTTAATTCACGCCTCAACATGTTTTTATTGCTCATTATAGTAGGTACCTAACATGTAGCTAATGCTGGGCACTGTTCTGTGTGGTTTGGGGTTGGTTTGTTTGTTTTTCTTATGTGTAGGGGTGAGGTTTTTTCATTGCTCCTAGATTTCGTCCTTGGGAGTGAACATAACCTCCTGCATCACAATTTGCTGCTGTTGAAGGAAGGCCAGAAATAGGATTGAAACGTAGTTAGATAGCAATGTGTTGAAGTTATACATTAGTTTGGCCAGTGGCACTAGAATATTGCTTTGTGTCAGCCGGTTGCTTCCACAGCCGAGCGAAGAGAAAGGTTTTACGGCTGTGGAGTGGCTGGGGCGGGCGGGAGGCATGCAGAATCTGATAAATTTAGCTAAAGAGCAAAATGGATCATGACTCTGTTGTGAGTGCCCCAAGATTTCTATTTCTCTATGTCATATTTTGGAAAGTCCCTTAGCTTGAAATAGCTATGTTTACATCTGGTTCTTATATGAGTGTTTGCTTTCTCAGTTTCCCTGACATGGCCTGTTAATATCTTTGCAAATCTCTGCTACATTCCTCCTTTGTAACTCGGCATGTTTGTGCTTCTTCATCCTTTGTAAGAAAGCTGGATTGGAGAAGAGGGAACCTGTCAGTAAACACTTGCGGAGTGCAACTGCTGAACAACTTCGACCGGAAAATATTATGTTCTAACACTACTTTATCCTTAATAGTAGTAACTGGATGAAATCACTTGATTTTTGGCGTGAGCAATGCTCTAAACTGGATTTCTGAGTGGACAGTGGAAAGCATCTCTCCGGGTTTTATCATTCTGCTTTTTTTTTTTTTTTTTTTTTGACTGAAACATGGTATTGACTTCAGGAAAGAAGCCTGACCGTGAAAAGACAGAGCCAGGTTTTAGGTGGACATGAAGCAAGTTATCTGTGAACATCAGTCTGCCTGCTGGTGTGGAGACATCGTGAGGATTACGGCATGAAAATACGCAGTGCTGGGGTCACCCCGGGCCTATGGGTTTGTAACCATGGTTGAATTTACAGCCTTGAATGGAATAAAATCTGTGGTTTCAGAGACATTTATTTTTGGCGAAGCTGTCGCTGCCACATCTGTGTCCTTCTAACAGGGCTCTGTTGCTGCAGCGTTGTTTTGTTGTTACTGATTATTGCCACCATTGCCATCCATTTCTGTAACCTCTCCCCATCAACTCTTCTGGAGATGAGGAACT